GGACAAGCTCACTGCCCGCACCCTTCCCTGCGTCTTCCTCGGTTTTCCCCTTGACGCGTCCGACTGGCACTTTTACCACCCGCCGTCTCACCGCTTCTTTCACTCTCGTGACGTCACCTTTGACGAGTCCGTCTCCTACTACCGCCGCTTCCCCCACCGTGGTCCCCCGGTTACCCCCCCCCTGTTCCTGGTCACCCCTTCCCCGGTAGTCCCTGCCCCTCCTCCTCCTCCTCCCCGTCCCGCCCCCTCTGGTGTCTCCCATGTCACCCCCCTTCCGTCCGTGGACCCGGTTGAGGAGTCTTATGACTCTGGTGGCCCTCCGGTGCAGTCCTCGCCGGCCGCCCCTCCCCAGGTGTCCCCTCCCCAGTCCCCTCCTCCGCCGTCCCTGCCGTCACTGCAGCCGTCGCCGTCGCCGCCGCCGCCGCCGCCGCCGCCGTCGCAGCCCCCGTTCGCTGCCTCTGGGGGTGCTCGTTCCGGTCGCCCTGAGGGTGGTCCCTCTGGGGGTGCGGGTGTGGAGAGTGCCGGTGGTAGCCGAGGAGCAGCTTGCGGTCCAGGTGTCGCCGTTGTGCCGCCGCAGCAGCAGTCCCCGCCGGTGTCCGCCCTTCGCCTGCTCGGCCTTCCGTCCCCCGACCCTGCGTCGGTTCCTCCCCGACCGTCTCCTCCTCTTCCTGTCTACGGCCCTGTTTTCCCTCCGCCGGACTCGTCCCCGGCCCGTCTCCCCCTCGTTCCCCTCCTGTGTCCCCTCCCCTGTCTCCTGACCCGACTCCTCCATCGCACGTCTGGTCTCACCGTCCCTCCCGTGCTCGTCCTGCCTCGCCTGTCCTGCGCTCCCACCCTATGTTGCTTCGTTCACACGCGTCTCGTCCTCCCCTTCTGCCGTCACCTCCTCCGTCCTCCCTTGTTGTTGCGCCCCCCCGCTGTCCGACTACCTTCGTGCCGCTCGTCCTCTCGTTCCTCGGGTCCTTGCCTCTCTCGTTACCGACCCGTCTGTTCCAGTCTCGTGCCTTGACGCTCTTGTCGCTGCTGTCGCTGACTTCGCCTCTACCCGCCGCCTTGACTACGCCACCGCTCTGGTCTCTGACCCTGCCTGTCCTCCGTCTGTCGGGGGTGCTCCTGCCCTTGGCAGTGACGTCCTGGAGGACCGCCAGTTCGAGCTTGCTTTCCTCTCCGAGGCTGCTCCCCATCTCTGTTCCATGCTGCTAGTCCCTGAGGGTGACCCAGACGCTTTCGACATCCCGACCCCTCGCACTTACGCTGAGGCGACTTCGGGACATTGGGCCTCGCAGTGGATAGCTGCCATGGAGCAGGAGATGGCATCTTGGAGATCCACCGGCACCTTCGTCGACGCAGTTCCCCCACCTGGGGTGAACGTAGTCGATGGCCGCTGGCTCTTCAAGGTGAAGCGCCCTCCTGGAGAGCCGCCTGTCTTCAAGGCGCGCTATGTGGCTAGAGGCTTCAGTCAGCGCGAGGGGGTGGACTTCTTCCAGACTTTCGCTCCGACCCCGAAGATGACTACTCTTCGGGTTCTGTTACACCTAGCTGCTCAGCGTGACTACGAGCTTCACTCCCTAGACTTCTCCACTGCCTTCCTTCAGGGCAGCCTACACGAGCAGGTCTACCTGCGCCGTCCTCCGGGCTTTACTGGCACCTTCCCTTCTGGGACCCAGTGGCTCCTGCGGCGCCCCGTCTATGGCTTGCGCCAGGCTCCCCGTGAGTGGCACGACACTCTGCGTGCTACGCTTGCTGACCTGCAGTTCTTTCTGTCTTCTGCAGACCCTTCACTCTTCGTTCGTGCTGGCCAGACTCCGTTCTACATCCTCGTTTACGTCGACGACCTGGTCTTTGCCACAGCAGACAGGGACGCGCTGGCCTCCGTGAAGGCAGAGCTGCTGAAGAGACACACCTGCACTGACCTTGGAGAACTGCGCCATTACCTTGGCTTGCAGATCTCCAGGGACAGAGCTGCGCGCATCATCACCCTGACTCAGTCACACTTGGTGCGCCAGGTCCTTCAGAGGTTCAGCCTTCAGTTCTCCTCTGCACAGCCCACCCCTCTGCCTGTAGACCACAGGCTCTCCGCTCCAGTGCCTGAGGAGTTGGTAGAGCCCGGTTGCCTCATGTACCTGATGACTTGCACTCGCCCAGATCTCGCATACCCTCTCAGCATCCTGGCTCGCTTTGTGGCCACAGGCAGACACCGACCGCAGCACTGGTCTGCCGCTAAGAGGGTTCTGCGTTATCTTGCTAGTACATCGGGCATGGGGTTAGTGCTAGGAGGACGCAGGCCAGCGGTCCTTACTGGGCACACAGACGCTTCGTGGGCAGACGACGCTGAGACACTCCGGTCTACCCAGGGCTACTGCTTCAGCCTTGGCTCAGGTGCCGTCTCGTGGAGAGCTACTCGCTCCTCGTCTGTTGCACAGTCCAGCTGTGAGGCTGAGATCTACGCCGGTGCCATGGCGGCACAGGAGCTCCGCTGGCTGACCTTCTTGCTCACTGACTTAGGTGAGCGGCCTAGTTCTGCCCCGGTCCTGTTCGCTGACAACAGGGCCATGATCCTCCTGTGTCAGGAGCCTCGACTCGAGGGCAGAGCGAAGCACATTCAGCTGCGGTACTTCCTCCTGCGTGAGCTACAGCAGCGACGTCAGGCTCGCGTAGTACACTTGGCCTCAGGTGCCAACACGGCTGATATCTTTACGAAGGCGCTTGCGCCTAAAGATCATCAGCGGCACTGTGTACAGCTTGGTCTAGTTCCTGTAGCCTCTCACTTGCTAGGACCTTGACTTTGTACTGTCCTTTATATGTATACTCAGACTGGACTTGTGTCCTCTCCCAGTGGCTGGACTAGTAGTGCCGCCCTGCTCTTGTGCTTGCCTTGTCTGTACTCCTTCTGACCGGTCGCTCAGACCCTTGTCTCAGAGGTTGGACTAGTAGTGCCGCCCTGAGCTGCTTGTTTAGGGTATTCCCCTATGCAGTCTAGGGGGTGTGTCAAACATGTGTATTTGTCATGTTTGTATAGACTGTATAGAGTCACCTCTTAGAGGATACAAAACTTAGATATATTTGTGTGTACTCTCACTTTACCAATTATTCAATTATTCTGATACGACCTTCAAACGCACTGCGTTTGAAAGTCACGTTTTCGTGGTTGAAGATGGGGGTAACGTGACTCGCGTCACTCGGGGCTGGCTTTCAAGTTCGGTGCGGAACGTATTTTGGGACATCCAGTACCTCGCATTTTTAGCCGTCCAATATTTTGGGATTTCCATCTGACAGCGCGCAAGTAAAGTGCTTCCCCCAGTCAATCGAAATGTAATCTCAGCCGTCGCACTACCTGCTTGCAAATCGGACGATCTACGACAAATTGCGAATTCGCGAGATGAAACACCCTCACGATTTGTCTGTGTATTTCATCCAAGCCGAGGCTCACAGTTCATACGCAGTGCGTATGAACAATTTGGGCCACGGGCTTTAAGATACATCGCTGAAAGTTGTTGGGAGTGGCATGATTTGTACTTATTGGATGGACAGGAAAATATATTACTTGGCATGGGCTTGAAGATATGATAAGTCTGCCAGCCATGCAATTCACAAAATATAATTCATACATTTGAGTGTAATAGAGCAACACAAACCCACCCTACAATTATTTTAGACAATATTTTACATTACTCACAGTAATCTTGCATATTGCGTATAACCACATCCAGGTCCAGGCCTTGACACAAATAGACCATTTCAGAGCCACATGCCTGCAAGAAGAATGATCACCGATTCACCACCATCACGAGCCTCTACAATCACCACCCTCTTGGTTGGGATCTAGGCTCAGTCACCCGCTCACATGGCATACCATGGTCCATGGGATGATGCACCATGCGATGGTGCACCATGGGATAATGCACCAAGGGATGATGCATCATGAGATGATGCACCATGGGATGATGCACCATGGGATGATGCATCATGAGATGATGCACCATGGGATGATGCACCATGGGATGATGCACCATGGGATGATGCACCATGGGATGATGCACCATGGGATGATTCACCAAGGGATGATGCACCATGGGATGATGCACCATGGGATGATGCACCATGGGATGATTCACCAAGGGATGATGCACCATGGGATGATGCACCATGGGATGATGCACCATGGGGCAGTGAAAGAGGAAAGTAGTGGCAGTAGAGGGTTGGTGTGGCAGAGGGAGGATGGAACCATCCCTCTGCCACATGATCACCACCACCACCACGACTCCCCACCACCACCGTCCATCACCACTTTCCACCTCCCACAACATCACCATCACCACGACCACCACCTTCCCTCGTCACCACCACCACCACCTTCCCTCCTCACCACCACGACCACCTTCCCTCCTCACCACGACCACCAACTTCTCTCCTCACCACGACCACCACCTTCCCTCCTCACCACCACGTCCACCACCCTCCCTCCTCACCACGACAACTACCTTCCCTCCTCACCACGACCACCACCTTCCCTCACCACCACCACCACCACCTTCCCTCCTCACCACCACCACCACCACCTTCCCTCCTCACCACCACCACCACCTTCCCTCCTCACCACGACAACCAACTTCCCTCCCCACCACCACCACCAACTTCCCTCCTCACCACGACCACCACCTTCCCTCCTCACCACCACGACCACCTTCCCTCCTCACCACGACCACCAACTTCTCTCCTCACCACGATCACCACCTTCCCTCCCCACCACCACGACCACCACCTTCCCTCCTCACCACGACCACCAACTTCCCTCCTCACCACGACGACCAACTTCCCTCCCCACCACCACCACCAACTTCCCTCCTCACCACGACCACCAACTTCCCTCCTCACCACGACCACCACCTTCGCTCCTCACCATCACCACCACCTTCCCTCCTCACCACCACCACCACCTTCCCTCGTCACCACCACCAGCCCCATCTCTCACCACCATGCCCCACTGACCCACCGAGTCAGTGGCTGTGTGGGTGCATAAGATGGATGAATGGCACTGTGTGTGAAAGGGATGAGCACAGCCTGCCAGCCAGCACTGCTCAGCATCACTGCCAGAGGGGCAGGGGCTGTGGCACCAGGTGAGAAGCTGTGATGGGGCCGGTGCTGGTGGTGGGGAGTGGTGATGGGCGGTCAATGTGAAAGGCTGAGGTGGTAGTGTGGTCTGGAGGAGGGAGGGAGAGAACCCCCTGGGTAAGCTGACAACCAGGTAGGGAAAGGAGGTATAGAGTACTAGAGCAAGGCAATTGAGAGGCAAGAGAGGGGGGTTGAAAATCCCCGGTTAGTGCGAGTCCACGGCAGAGGAGGGGGATTCCCCTGCCCCATGCTTGCATTTACCGGAGGGTTCCAACCCCCCTCTCCCCCCCCTGCCGCTCGCTTGCCTTAACCAGAGTACTCCAACCCTTCCACAGCCTGGGTCTCAGCATACGCAGGGGCCTCTCACCACCCATCTTCCACATCCGACCACCACCACAAATACCTTCACTGCCCATCAAATCTTCCCTCCACCACCAGCACCAGCACCAACACAGATCCACCATCACCCCTTCTCACCAGCACCAACACCAAAACCACCCCTCCATGCCACCAGCACCACCACCCCTTCTCACCAGCACCAACACCACCCCTCCACGCCGCCACCACCACCACCACCACCACCACCACCACCACCCCTTCTTACCACCACATCTTCTCACCACCACCCCTCCACGCCACCAGTTGCACGACCACACCCACGTCGCCCCACCCACCACCCCCTCACCCGCCAGCAGCAGGAGAGGCATGAAGCACAGACCCCTTAGAAGCAGCACCGGCAGTACCCATTGCGCTAAGGCGCCAAGTGAGGCAGGAGGCAAGCACACGGTAAGCCCAAGATCCAATTACCCCTCACCGGCGTGGCAAGAGCTGGCACGAGACAGAACCATTCGGCCGCAATGGTTCTGCCATGGGCCCATTATGCATTAACGCGCGGGTATTGCGATTGGACACAGAGTGCTTGACACGTGTACTTGCGCTGCCTCACCCAACCCCCATTGCGTATAGTACTGAAGGTGCTGCCCCCGGAAGCCTGTCCCCACCCTGCCCCACCCACCCACCTCCATCCCCTCCCCCACGCCTTCAGCTTACCTAACTTACCACCGCCATGCACAGCCAAGGAATGCAAGCTGCTGGGGGAAGGGAGGGGGGTGGGGGGGGTGAGCTACTCTCCTCTGCTCCCCTTCTTGCCCCAGGGCACCAAGGGGTGGGAAGCTGCTGGGGAGAAAGAGGAGGGGGGGGTGAGAACTCTCCTCTGCTCCTCAACTTGCTCTAGTCCAGGGCACCAAGGGGTGGGCAGCTGCTGAGGGCGGCAGGGAGGCGAAAGAGGAAGGGAATGAGGGGAATGTCGCCATACCTGCACCTATACCATACCAAACCTGTACCTCGCTCACACGCCCTAGCCCGCCCTCTGACTGCTCTCTGCTATTCTGCTTCCCAGCTGCCCTGTATCCGCTGCTGCTGCTGCTGCCGCTGCACCACTGCTGGTGCACCGCTGCCGCTGCACCGCTGCTCAGCTACAGGCTCTACGGCAGTCTTGCTTGCTGCTGCCAAGTGACCTGCTAGGAGGGGGTGGGAAGGGGGGGAAGGAGAGGGGGAAGGAGAAGTGAGTCGAAGGAAGTGAGAGACACCCAAGACAAAACCAGTGCGGAGAGACAAGAATTGCAGAGAGGCAAACGACAAGAATTGCAGCACAAGGAAAAGGGCTTACCTTTAGGAGCCGAACCGAGCCCAGAAACTCTCCCTCACTGCCGAATGCAGTGCTGCTGCTGCTGCTACTGCTGCGCCGACCTCAGCTACAGGTTCTGCTGCAGACTTGGCTTGCTGCTGCCAAGTTACCTGCCTGGAGGGAGGGGAGGGGGCGACGGGGGGTGGTGAGGAAGAAGGGAGAAGGGAGAAGTGAGTGCAGCGAAGGGAGAGGCAAGTGAAACAAAAGCAGCGAGTGAATGAACAGGTGCTGCTGCAGGGAGGACAGAGGATTACCTTGAACAGCCGCGCCCACCCCAGATACTCTCCCTTGCATCAGGATCCACTAGTGCTGCTGCCGCAGTTGCTGCTGCTGCTGCACCGCGCTCAGCTACAGGCTCTGCTGCACCGCTCTCACTTGCTGCCAGGTGACCTGCCAGGAGGGAGGGGGAGGGGTTGGTGAGGAGGAAGGGAGAAGAGAGAAGTGAGTGCAGGGAAGGGAGCGCCAATCACAAAATTCAACCAGAAAGTGAGCGAGCAGGCATTGCAGCAGAAGGAAAGGGGCTTACCTTGAACAGCCGAGCCCACCCCAGATACTCTCCCTTGCCGCAGAAAGCAGTACTCCTCCCAGACTTCCCGTGTGCGTCCCTGCACGGCCACAGGGGAGGGGCCTGAGGGAATGTCGGTGTTGATCCCACGCCCCTCCCCTCCACCTGCAATGCACACACACGGCAGTGGTCAGTGTGCATGTCATGGCAGCAAGCACAAGCCACGGCCTGGAAACTGCCAAGGCTGGAAGAACAAGGGAAGGGCCACTGGTGGAGCCACGGCCACAAGCCACAGACCCCAAGGGAACCTGAGGGGTGTACCTGCACCTGGGGGGGGGGGTGGTAACCTGCACCTAGGGGGGGAAGGGTACCTGCACCTGAGAGGGTTACCTGCACCTGAAGTGGAGGGGTCTGTGGCATGTGAGTCAGGCCAAAGAATGGCATTGATTTCAAGGGGAAGGGAGTGCAAGCACGTGCAAAGAGAGAGGGAGAAGTGAAACGAGCAGCAGCGACATTGCAAGGCTGGATCCAGGGAGCGTGAAAACGCTTACTGCGTCACTGCGCTTCCACCAGCGGCACCGTTTTGTGAGGAAAAGCAAACGATGGCAAGAATCCAAGGCGAGAAGAGGCGTGCAAGGGTGGGTGAAGGGAGGAACGAGCACTTAGCTGATGCTGTGAGCGCGCACAGAAGGCAGGCGATGCAGCACGAGGAGAGATGCCTTCAGCTGCCGCCAGGTGGTTGACGCACAACCCCAGGTGCTTGCTTGCTGCCCTGCCTCCGTGCAAGGGTGACCTGCCAGGAGGGAGGGGAGATGTTGTAGGAGGGTGGTGAGGAGGAAGGGAGAAGAGAGAAGTGAGTGCAGTGAAGGGAGAGCCCACTAAAACAGAATCAGAAAGTGACCGAGCAGGCATTGCAGCAGAAGGAAAGGGGCTTACCTTGAACAGTCGAGCCCACCCCGGATACTACCCCTTGCTTGCAGCACAAGGCAGCGCTTCTCCCAGCCGTCCCATGTGCGCCCCTGTACGGCCACAGGGGAGGGGCGTGAGGGAATGTTGGTGTTGACCCCACGCCCCTCCCCTCCACCTGCAATGCGCACAAGCAGCAGCAGTCAGTGCCATGGCATGCATAGCAACCGAAATGAGGAGTTGCAAAACTGGAGAGTAATTGGAAGGGAGGGGCCACTGGTGGATGCACGACCACAACCACAGACCCCCCAGGGGACCTGCACTGGCTGAACCTGAGGGGATACCTGAGGGGTTACCTGAGGGGATACCTGAGGGGATACCTGAAGGGTTACCTGAGGGGTTACCTGAGGGGATACCTGAGGGGATACCTGAGGGGTTACCTGAGGGGCTACCTGAGGGGCTACCTGAGGGATTACCTGAGGGGCTACCTGAGGGGTTACCTGAGGGGCTACCTGCACCTGAGGGGGTTACCTGGAGTAGGGGGTCTGTGGCATGTGAATCGGGCCTCAAGCAGTGGCATAATTTGAAGGGCAAGGAAGCAAAAACTGAAAGGCACGAGCACTGGCAGGGAATGCGACACATAAGGCCTGGTGTAGGTAGGGAGGTTTACTTTGCTTACCACGCAGCAGCAGCAGCAGCTCTAGCGAGGGCGTTGGAAGAGCGGCCATGGTTGGGGAACGGCCAGCGACGAGAGCATCACCCCAGGAGTCCCGGCACTTGAGTTCCTGCAAGGGAAGGGAGGGGGGGACGGGGGGAACGAGATGGATGCAAGTAGAAATAAAATGAGTAGGCTTCGAATGCTGGAGTGGGGGTAGAGGGGATGGATGCATGCATGGTAAAATGGAGAAACAGCAAGGGGAGGGGCTACTGGTGGAGGCACGGCTACTAGTTACAGACCCGAAGGCTTGAACCTGCTATTACCTGCAGTGGGGTTACCTGAAGGCTTAACCTGAGGGGGGGATTTACCTGCAGAAAGGGGGGTGTGTGGCCCGTACACCGTGCAGCCACCAGTGGCACCGTTTTACGGGAGAACAAAACGAGGTCGAGGCAAAAGCGACAAAGCATGCAAGAGTGGGTGAGCGGAGGAAGCAACGACTTAGCTGATGGTGGTGGGAGAGCGCGCAGAAGGCAGCTGAGGTAGCAGGCGGTGCTCGTCTTGTTCCGTCAGGTGCTTGTCTTGTGCCGTCAGGTGCTTGCCTTGTGCCGTCAGGTGCTCGTCATGTGCCGTCAGGTGCTCGTCTTGTGCCGTCAGGTGCTCGCGTGCTGCTCCCCTCCGTCCCCCGCTGCTCCTTGCAAGCAGCGACCAAGTGACCTGCCAAGGGGAGAGGGGCGAGGGGGGTGGGGGAAAGAGAAGGACGGAGCGAAGTGAGGCGAGGGGATAGCAGCAGAGGCGAGCGCTGTAGCGCTGGCACGTGCAGCATGCCTTGGATCAACGCCAGCGCCTGGTGCATCCCCTGAAGCAGCTCCCACACCTGGGGGAGGGGGAGAGGGGAGGGGGGGAAGCGGGGGGAGGGGGGGGGGTGGGTCGCCCATGGCGCACATGCACAAGCAAGCGGCAGCGAGGGAGACAGAGAGGAGGAGGGGACTGGACGCGTGCACGCAGCGACGACTGTAAGAATAACTAATAACGCCTAACCCGCTAGCAACTGACTCTATGCAAGCGGCTCAAGCAAGCGCGGCGAGCCATGGGCTTCCGGGGAGGAGGGGATGGGAGGGGGGTGGGTGGGGGGGATGAGCAATCGAAGTGACGAGGGGAAGACAGGAAAACTTAGCGGAAGCAGAAAGTAAATGCCAAGGCAGAGAGGCGGATTTACGAATTGATTAGAGTAATTAGCTGGGCGTGTAAGGCTGGAGTACGAAGCAGGAGCGACGGCGTTGGAAGTCGCTCGCTGATGGCTGCAGGGAGCCTCTTCGTTAAGCTGGTAAAAAAACGGTCGTTGAGGTTTCTTGACTCCGTCCCCCGCGGCTCCTTGCAATCGGCGACCAAGTGACCTGCCAAGGTGAGAGCGGGCGGGGGGAAGAGGAGGAGAGCCAAGTGAGGCGAGGGGAAAAGCAGCAGCGGCGTGCGCTGCAGCGCTGGCACGAGCAGCACACCTTGGAGCAACGCCAGCGTCTGGTTCATCCCCGGAAGCAGCTCCGACACCTGGGGGAGGGGGAGAGGGGAGGAGCGGGGGGAGGGGGGGTCGCCCATGGCGCACAAGCACGAGCCAACGGCAGCGAGGGGAGACGGCGAGGAGGAGGAGACTCACGCGTGCACGCAGCGACAGGTCTAAGTCTAACAACGCCTAACCCGCTAAGGACTGGACCCTATGCAGGCGGCTCAAGCAAGCGCCGCGGCCATGGGCTCCCGGGGTGGAGGGGATGGGAGGGGGGTGGGGACGATGAGCAATCGAAGTGACGAGGGGAACAACAGCAAGATTTGCGGAATCAGAAGGTCAATGCGAAAGCAGTGAGGCGGGTCGACGGATTGAATCGGGTACTTAGCTGGGCGTGTTTGGTCGGAGTAGAAGCGAGGCAGAAGCGACGGCGCTGGAAGTCGCTCGCTGACGGCGCACGCAGAGCGACTCTGAAGGCTGTAGGGAGCCTCTTCGTTAAGCTGGTAAAAGAAACGGTCGTTGAAGTTTGTTGACTTGGGGCGACGTGTGTCCCTCCCTGCAGCAACATGCAACACGAGAGTTAGAATCAGGAAAAAGCGAAATACAGAAATGTCGTCTGAACATAATCTGTTGACGTCTCAGGAACTTACCGCTGAACGATCTTGAACGCAGCATCATGCCATATGGAAGTAGCGGCTTGACACGGACGAACTTGGGATCAGCGTCCCCCCACACTTAACGCTTGAGCTCCAGATCTTGGTTGTACTTCAGCGTTGAGCAGCAGAGATAAGAACCTGAGCATTGCATAGCGAGTAGTAAGTCCACAGTGGAAGGGTCGAAAAGGGTAAAAACAAAAAGGAAAAATGAATGGCAGGAGAGGTAACGCCGTCGCTTGGAACTTACCATATGGCAGAGCGTCCGCGAATATTAAAAGCACCTTCGTGTTGAAAGTGACGAGAGCCACGTTGAGGAGGCGGAGACGCGAAGCACGACGGCGCAGTAGCTGCAAACAGAGACGGCGGACGAGAAATGAGGCGAAATGCCTCGGCTGAGGGAAGTTCTAGTCCCGTGAGGGGCACTCTACGGCTGGGAATGTTGGAGATGACAAATTGGAATGAGGCGAAATGAGGCGAAATGTCTCTCTTGGGAATTCAAATCACACCCCAATGCCACGCCGGTGGGAGGTGGGAAAAGGCACCAGGCTCACTTTCCCGTGGACATGGTCCAAGGAACAACTCCGTTCGAACTGGGAAGAGGGATGGAAGGATCTAGGACCGTCAGATCTATTCAAGCGAATCTCGTTATACGGTCTGGATTGAAGTAAGGAATTCAGTGGACGACATTGAGGCTCCGGATCGCCCTTTTTTAAACCAATTAGCGTGAGTCCCGCTCGAATTTCGTGAAAACTTCACGTTTCCCGCTCAAGGAATGGACGTTGATATTGGACAGAAGGGCGGAAGGATCTAGGGCCGTTGGATCGCTACAACGCGATTTGATGAACACCTGAGATATGCGAAGAGTAACTCGCCCAGTAATTCGCCAAAACGAACGTTAGCTATGAAGATAAGGGAGCTCTGGCTACCATTGGATCAGGTTGGAGATCTGGATTTGAACGGTGCGAGATTGAGCCAACGGGCTCAGCTGGATCTGAGATCTGAAGGGGACTTGGCTGGTTCGACGAAGACAGTTAGGCTGAGTGTAATTTCGCGAAACATTTGTCGAACATCCTCTCGCAGAGAGCTCCACTTCTGGAGGCGGATTGGTTTCTGGAAACGGATTCCAGGGGATTGGTTACATTCCTTTTCGTCAGTTGCCCTCGCCAGCCCAGCTATCTCTCTCGAGCTAGTGGGGGAGGGGTAAGAAGTGCGAGGTGGGATTTGCTTTCGTCGCCAGAGCATTGCCATCTACAATCACATCCATGTGTTCTATTTCCCCTCCGCCTGGTGTACATCATCTACGAAAAAGCTTGGGGTTTCAGACAAATTGAGGCAGGTTTGTCATTATTTGTATCTTGCACGTATTCGCTTATTTGTCCAATCCCAACGAATTCTCTCTGCGTTTAAGATTGGATTGTCTCTTATGGAGCCTTGTTCTCTGTCCAGTATAATTCATACTGGTACATTTGTGTTTAGGGTTGCAAACATCATGGTGATGTGAAAATCTTCCTGTGCCATACACTAGTTGAGGTAATCTATCATATACATGGTCTTTGTTGAGTGACCCGCTGGGGTTGACCTTGAGATCCTCGGGGAAGGGCCACAGGTGCAGAGCCTGTCAAAAGACTAGCTTAGCTAGGAAGCCATAGAATGGCACAAGGTTTAGCTAGGAGCTAGGAGGAGCCATGAGAATGGCGAGAGGTTTTAGGTGCTAGGAAAGTTGAGGAGAGAAAAGAGAGTTGGATTAGAAGAGAGGGGAGTACAAGGAGGGGTTTGTACCCCCTACAGAAAGGTTCAGTAACAACCTACCAAGCCTATATTAAATTATAACTTATATAATTTGAACACACCCCCTAGGCTTGGTAGTCACATGCCCACACACACCCACACCCCCTAACCTAGTGTCAACTTATACATATTATCTATGTAGAAGTTATAGGCTAGACTGAGGTATGCTTCTAGTGAGTACAACCAACTAGTATTTGTTCTAGGTTTCCACCTCTAGTAATCATTCGTTTCTACGTTAACATGGTATCACGCTTAGGTTAGGATCCCCCCGCCTACCGCTTCCGCCCGTCGCGCCTCCTAGGCCCCGTCGCGCCCCCTAGGCCCCGTCGCGCCCCCCCTGGGCCCCGTCGCGCTCGTTAGGCCCCGTCGCGCCCCCCCTGGGCCCCGTCGTGCCCGCTGGGCCCCGTCACGCCTCCTAGGCCCCGTCGCGCTCCCCCTGGGCCCCGTCGCGCCCACTGGGTCCCGTCGCGACCCCTAGGCCCTAACGCGCCCCCG